GAAGTTTAGGGGATCTATTCAAAACAGCTTAAGGTTATAATCCTAAAATACATCTTTATCGATCCAAACGCGGGCACGCCGAGAAGTACACATGATAGTTACTATTTATCAAGCGCTTACTATATACCACTCCATATATTATCTCACTTAATCCTCGAAACATTCCTATGAAGTAGATATTATCACCCTTGAGTTACAGGGGATGTAAAAGAGTTTCTCTTTAATGGTATGCATAGAGCCAAAAAGCTGGTAACAGATGCTAAAATCCAAACCAAATTAGACTCTAAAGCCCATGTTCTTTCCACTGATCATGTTCAATTTACAAGGAAAATATCCAATACATGTAACCTGAACCTAGGTTCTAAAATTAGTAGCAAAGAGCAAACAGTTATGCTCTCACTGATAAGGCAAGTGTTTTTGGCTTTCAACAGTTTTTCCCCCCTTTTTTAAAGTTAAAAGCATTTTGTCAACATTCTATAAATACTATTAATATTAAGCTTTTCAATGAGATTTCAAATGATGTAACTACTCCATTGAATTGCTAGTTTGTTCTCGTTTAAAGCTACACAGGACTTTTCATGAATATGGCACCAAAAGCAAGGATGGAGGCCCCTGCTGCTCCCAAAAGCGAAGCCAAAGCAAAGCTTCGAAGGCCAAGAAAGCAGTGCTGAAAGGCATCCACAGCCACAAGAAAAGGATCCGCACGTCACCTACCTTCCAGAGGCCTAAGACACTGCAACTCTGAAGGCAACCCAAATGTCCTCGCAAGAGCACCCCAGGAGAAACGAGCTTGACCACTATGCCATCATCAAGTTCCCCCGGACCCCGAGTCAGCCATGAAAGAAGACACCACCACACTTGTGTTCATTGTGGATGTCAAGGTCAAAGCACCTGACCACACAGGCTGTGAAGACGCTGTATGCCTTTGATGTGGCCAAGGTCAGCACCCTGCCCAGACCTGATGGAGACAACAAGGCGCATGTTCGACTGGCTCCTGACTATGATGCTTTGGATGTTGCCAACAAATATGGAATCATATAAGCTGAGTGCAGCTGACTAATTCTAAATAGTCTTTTCACCAAAAGTAATATATAGTCAAAGCTACACAGAAAAGAATCATCAAGAAGTAACAAGTAGCAGTTGAGCGCTCGAAAGCTCTTTCGATCACAAACATGGCGTGCAGACCTCAGCAGTGTACAATTCTCTCAACTGTACCCAGTGCATGTATACAAAAAAAAAAAAAAAAAAAAAAAAAAGAAGTAACAAGTCAATTTCGTATTTTAGTCACATAAACACAAAACACACATGGGGCCATGAAGAGATTTTCTCTGCCTTGAAAAGGTGACTGAGTTCATCCAGCACATACCAACATAACATCTTATCCTCCAAATTGGGTACAATTGTTGATCAAGTCCCATAACCTGCAGGTGTAGGAACCAACACATCTCACGTGCCTCAGGTCTATTCCCGGGCAGCACTGTTAGTCCTGTATCCTGGGAACTCCCTCAATCCTGGCAAAATCTGGGGGGGTTGATCACGCAGATTACCAGATAAATGCAGAGTTAATGTCTTCAACGAAACATATTAAAATGTGGGCAATTCATACTAAACTGGATGTGAGCATTATCACAAAGGTGTGGTATCAAGGTATTTGGGTAGCTAAGTCAAAAGAATGATAAAGCACTATATAATACTGGTTACCCAAGAGAAAGTTGCTGAGAATATAAACATATCATTCTTCATGGGATGATATTTCATATGTGCACCAGTATTAACATTCACCCGATTTAAAAATGGGCTCCAAAGAGCACACCTTCACAATGACATTTATCTAATATAAAACTGAGACACTAAATGGGGGAAGAGAAAGCAATCAACACTCATCCAAGATTTTTAGGGTATTTCATCTCTGGGAAACATGGAAAAGGGCTAATTGTGATGTCTCAATTTGGGATAGCTGATAGTGCTAAAAACCTTTTTTAGAGTAGAAACAGGAAATCTCTTAAGTAGTGATAAGAGGGGTAGGACATAGGTACAAATTCTCTATGGTTCCTTTCAACCTGAATAATGTATGATTCAAGTCATCACTGTCTGCCCCCTTTATAGGTGAAGCCAAGTGAGACTAGAGAGTACTGTGACATTCCAAGGCTCCAGCTCTGGCTGGTGATGGAGGCTGGACTATATATTAGCCTTGCTCTCACTTTAATTCTGCCTACCCACTCATAACCTAAAGAACCTTTGGGCAGCATGGGAAGATACATGACATTTCACCTCATGTGGGGTATTTTACTTAGTGAGCTCATAAATAAATTGGCCTCAAGTTTTAAAAAAGGAAATTGAGGGACCTCCCTGGTGGCACAAGGGGCTAAGTCACAGCACTATGAAGCTAGCCGCAGCCACTGCAGCACAAGTTCGATCCCCAGCCAGGGAGGTGACCCACATGGCGCAGCAGACCTCTCCTGTCTCACCCACTGCTCCCCTCAGCAGTGTATTTCAGTCATCCACCTGTTCTATTCCCTAGTCTGTCTCTGATGAATCCTCTCACCCCCTGCACCTTTGGCCTATACCCCAGTTCTTGTATGCATAAATAAATCTTTTAAAAATAAATAAAAAGGAAATTGAGACCAGAAACTCTCTAAGGTATCATTAGGTATTTCAACCATACAATGCATACTAGTCTGAAAATCTATATATATATAGGGGGAGAGAGAGAGAGAGAATTTCTTTGCATGAATTCTATAAACAAGACAAAGGCATGAACAATGTGACTTGAAATGAGAACAAACATCTTCACAGTTTGTAGTTTGAAGAAACCTCAAAATGCAGAAAACAACTTTCAAAAGAAATTATCACTGTTGCCCAGTTGTCCTAAGCGTCAAGGTCTTGTGAACAATACAAACAAGCATCTGACCAATTAAAGAGTGCCCGTAATGATAGGAAGCTTGCTATTTCTTCATTCTGACAACTGTATTTTTGTAACAGAAATTACAAAAGAGCACACGTCTACAGGCATTTATTAGCTGGATCCTTCTAGGTTGTCGTCTTTCAATCATGATTTTCAGTTTATGCTGATCCATCTATATACCAGCCCTGTGCCTCCATCACTAATGGCACTGACCACTTATAGCCAACAGGTTTAAGGGTGCAATCCATGACTCTGATGCTTACCAAAGCTTGCTTATCCATACCCACCCTAGTGTGGCTGCCCTGGTACCCATCTACCAGAGACAGTAGTAATATAATCTGTCACAGGCCAGGGCTGCAGTGCAAGGGAGTTTAGGCAAATCACTAAATCTCCAAGCTTCTTGGTTTCCTGTTTTCCTCAATCTGTGGAATGGGATTAATATTTTTACATATTTCATGTCTATAAAATCAAAACAAATACATTTTAGAAATACTTGAAAAACAAATATATTTTAGAAATACTTTGTAAATACCAAAGTTATATTATTTAAAGCAGCTGAGCTGGCAAAAGGCAATGCTGACTTAACAAAAGTGGCCCCTGGGGTGATGTATGTATGTGTGTGTGTGTATATATATATATATATATATATATATACACACACACACACACATATATACACACATATATACACACACACACACACTATCCCAAAGGTCTGTTAATATTTCAAAACATAATAAATGGTTATTAAATTCAAAAGGCATGTCGAGCAAAACACTACAAATTATAGGTAAGTAGAATTCTTCCCTATTCTAGCAATTAGAATGGTCTATTACTTGAACCTTAAACCAGAAATCTCATGGATGATTTAATGTCAATTTTATACATGCCCTCATTGCTTTCGGGATAAAGGTCCTCATTAACTATTAATTATGTGCAGTTAATTTCCCCAATACTTTAATGAAAACACTGTTTGTATTACTTCAATCTAAAATGCCCAGATACACACAGCAGCCCCCAAAGTAATTATCTTATTTACCAAAAAAACCAAAAAAAGAGCAGAAAAGATTGGAAAACCCATCATTATCCACAGCTAACTACCACTAAAGAGCTGAATGAAACTACAAAATTAAAGGCCAACAGTACTTTTCCAAATTCAGACAAAATGTTTTCTAAAATCCTGTTTCCCAAACTCATAAATACCCAAAGTAATATAATACCCTTCAAAAAATGCACGAGGATGACTGTATTAACTAAAGCAAAACCAAAACCCTATGATGGAAGGCTTATATTGAAATGTGCTTCATGCAGTTATAACAGGACTAATATTAAGTTTAAACATTTTATAATTTGGAATTATGAGGGAAAGTAAAGGTATAAAAATACAGTAACTATTTTCATTTCTCTGAACTTACTGAAATTCTTGCAGCAGGCAAGTCCACAGACTACAAAGAAACAAAATTTTGAAAACTTCGTTTGATTTAAACAATTTTAATTGAAATCAATCTCGTAGATTTTTATTTCAAATATGGCCTGCTATGCCCTAATTTTCTCTAACAGAGCCAATTATTTTCTTGCAACAAAATGACCATTGTACGATATAGGTAATATTTTTAAAGATTACATAACTTCTTTCCAAACGATGTCCAGGTCTGAAGCGAAAACAAAACCACTGTAACTGAAAATATAGAACAACTTGCAGTAAAGGCAAGGATAGGAACCACAGGAGTTTTCAAAGGCTAACTTCTCCAGGTTCAACTGCGGAAGCTTATTTGTCTCAACTCCCAGGACCACCACAGCGATTTTTATCCATGGAGAATAAAATCTGTCTGAACACCGAAACGCCTACACTAAATTCCCATTGAGGAAACAACCAGAGGACAGAAAACTCAAGAAAGCTCCAGCTTCCACCACCCCGGTCCCACCTTGCTCCATTCTTTTCTTCATTTCCATTCAGTGGTTAACTTTCTGATAAAAAGGGAAAAACCTGTTGGATGGAGTTTTTAGAAAATAAATCCTATAGATGAAGCAGAAATAAGTTGCTGTAAGTTGTCCACCCATTCATTTATATACAACCAAAAGAAGAAACACCCACATGTATTCCGATCAGTGAAGATGCACAACCTGGTGGTTTGCAGAGAAGATGGGATCTTAAATCAGACGACTAATCTCCCAAAGGGGAGGGAAAAAAAGAATGGGGCTCTTCACCCCAAAGCTTCAGAGGCGCGGGCTCCTCAGCTCGAGAGGTGCAGACATCCAAGCCAGCACTCCGGTTCCCGGTGCAGCATCTCCAGGCTGAGGCGGGGCTTGGGACCAACAACAACACACTCCCCCCACCCCCCGCCTGCCCCCCCACTCCGCTGCCCCCACCCACCCCCCCACGCAGCCCGCAGCCTCCAGCCGCCCGGGGCAGGAGGGAACTGGCTGCTCCGCCCAGACACGGATGGAGGAGAAGCTCCAGAGCCCCGCGAGGAAGCTGCCCCCTCCCCCCTCGGGAGAGGTCCGGGAGGGGCGCGCCGGCCCCTGAGAGCGGGCCACGGGCTCACCTCTCTTGGGGGGCGGCGGGCGCGCGCCACAGCCGGGGCGCCCGGGGCGCCCGGGCTGCGGTGGGGCGGCGCCCAGGGGGCGGGTTCCTCCACCCCCTGCCCCGCCGCGCCGGCCCCGCGGGGCGCGCCAGGAGCTGCAGGCAGCGCCTCAGCGCCCTCCGCTTCGACATTCTCCGGCCCACAGTCGCCAGGGTCACTCCGCGTTACCGGGTCACTCATTGTGACCTTGGCGTTTGGCCCCCATCCAGGCTTTCCCAAGATGGCCGCCCCCGCGGACCCCGCTGCCGGGGCCATCTTGGTGAAAGAGGCGCCGTGGGCCCGGCCTGCGCCTCGAGCACGCGCTGCTGGAACCCTCGGGACGCTCGTTGGCCTGAAACTGAGGTCGCTGGAGCACTTTCTAGACACTAAAACTGAACGGGAGCCGCGGCCTCTGGCATTCTGAGCGAGTGTGGTAGACAAGCACGCGGGAGCGGCGCCCGGGAGCCAAGAAACACCGCTGTAATTTGAAGGATGTACAGTGGGCATTGGCTATTCATGGTAGCACTGCCTTGTCAGTGTGCTCATTAACTGGAAATGATGTCAGCCTCCAGCACACACAGTTCTCATAAATTTGCTTTTAAAAATCTCAGGATGACAAAGAACTGTGACTGAATCACTTCCAGGATTTTCTTTATAAACTGCAGCATGAAATTAGCTGTTTGAAGAAATATTTTATATATACACAAGTCAAAATAGAAATTCAACACTGGGTGGGTGGGCAAAAAAAGTCCTCTGGGTTGTCCATGAGCCAGAAAGAAAAGCTTTCCTGGGTTGCGGATGGGGGGGGTTGTGCGTGTTGGGGTGTGTGTATAGGGCTGGGGGTGCTTGTTAAATTGGCAAAAAAAGGGGGAAAAGCCACATAGGACCCAAATGCTGATAGGACTGCTGAGAAATGCAAACTATTACAAACTGAAAGTGAAAGTGTTATAGAGCAACCCCGATATTAAACGGGTTCCACTGGAGTTCCCAGTGTCTTTGGCTTTGACCTGGGGTGGGGGTGGAGTCCACAAAGCCTATATGGAATTTGCTTTGGGACATCCTTTTCCCCCTAACAAAAGTGCTGGTGTGATCCTGCAGGAATGTAAAGAACATTGTCAGGTGCAGACCTGAACCCCTCAGGCTAGCTTGCAATTGCTAAATCTTACTGACGTAAATGTGTTTAAAAAACTGCTTGCAGGCCTTCCCGGTGGTGCAAGGGGTTAAGATGCAACCTATGATGCTATCCGCAGCCATTGCAGCATGAGTTCGATCCGAGGCCAGGGAGGTGACCCACCTGGCGCAGCAGACCTCTCCCGACTCGCTGGCTGCTCCCCTCTGCAGTGTATTTCAGTCAGTCTGCCTGTTCTGCTCCCCACTCTCTCTGGTGAATCCTCTCACCCCCCATACCTCTGGTCTGTACCCGAGTTCTTGTATGCATAAAAATAAATTAAAAAAAAAAAAAACACAACTGCTTGCGCCTAGGTGGGACTCTACTGAAAAGGAACCTGGTATGGAACAGAAAAACAAACCAAACAATACAAAAACAGAAAAAGCCCGTAAAAGAAATAGAGCTACAAATCCAAAAGGTGAGTTGAAATTACTGCTTAGAAATTCTTCACAGTGCTCTTGGCTAAGAAGGCATCTTAAGAGAGATGATTTTTTGCTCCCCTAACCAATTCTTTATTATGAATATACAGAAAATAGATATGCCTTTTTGTTAAACTATTTGAATAAGTTGCAGACATCAAAACACTTCATTTCTAAACACTTCAGCCTGCCTCTCCTTACAATGACGATCTCATCAGAATCACAACGCCTTCATCACACTAAGCTGACAACCCCCTGATATCATTTAATATTTAGTCCATATTAAAGTATCTATGATTGTTTCAAGAATGTCTTTTATAGCAGGGTTAGTGGGGGTTACCCCCCACCCCACCCTGAAGGGAAAAAAGCCTAGTATCTAGTGAAGTAGTATCTATGAAGCCTAGTATCTAGGCTCATGTATTTGCTTATTATGATTAAATATAACACAACTTGAAATGTTCACTTGCTATTTCTTCTACACATACAGATATTCCAAAGAAACAAATTTCCACAGGGTGTTTTTCATTGAGAGCTGCACACTAGATAAGCACATCTCAATAGACCAGCACAGGCTAGGAGGAATGAACAGTATTTTAACACAATATTGAGACTACAATTTAAGTTGTGTTAAATTATAATATTGGGCCTCCCTGGTGGCACAAGGGGTTAAGCACAGCACTATGAAGCAATCCGCAGCTTTGGCAGCACAAGTTCCATCCCCCTGCCGACCAGGAAGCATCCCACATGGCATGGCAGACCTCTCCTGTCTCACCTGCTGCTCCGCTCAGCAGTGTATTTTAATCAGTCTGCCTGTTCTGCTCCGCACTCTGTCTCTGGGGAATCCTCTCAACCCCCTGCACCTCTGGCCTATACCCCAGATCTTGTATGCATAAATAAATAAATCTTTTTAAAAATTGTAATATTTATGCTTTCTTAACTCCTGGAATACTATATAAACTTTATGGATTGTGTTTGAACCCCTGTTCAACTGGACCTCCAAAGTTTAATGTTTGGGTTTTCTCTAGACAGTGAAGAATTATAGAGTATGAAATTTTTATCTCACACCAGGCAAAACCTCTCACCTGCCCTGCTTCACAGTACAAAACAAGGTAAACACTGCACTCTCTGCATTTTACCCATGGTTTAATTTTAGATCCTGACCTGTTTCCCTAAAAGTGGCTGGTGGCCCATGTAACTTTTTTTTCTGGAGACTAGTATTAAATATTTTAATACTTTAACAAATTGCAAAATGCTACTTCTGGGAAGTTAAATATAAAGCAATTTCAGCATATTACTAAATCTTAAGTAATTCATCTTGAAAGTGCGTTCTGTAATCAATATTGCCTTTCACCTTCTAGCTCCATGTTGAAAGGCATAGAGGACTAGTTTCTAGATGTCTTTAATTCAGTGCATATTTATAGTGACAGCTGTTGAATTCAGTGTTCACCTCCAATCCAATCAAAGATTGTTTTCTTGATCATAACAATCTATAGATAACTCAAATAGCACTGAGAATGATCTCACTCATGCAGCTAAATTTTAATCTGTGCTCTGTCATTAACTAATTCTTTGACCCTGGTAAATACCCCTGCCTACCTTCCTAGTCCTCTCACACTGTACCTTGCAAAATGACTTAGTTTCTAGGGCCACTTATAGTTGTAACATTCAGTAACCCTATAAAAAAGATTTTATCTGCATTTCTGAGCTGGAGCAGGAAAAGACAAGACACAGTATAAAGTTAAGGACAAGGACTGTGTTCTACCTGAAAGAAAGGGATTTAAGTTCTTGAAACCTTCCCTTATTTTAAATCAGAATTAGTAGCAAAGGAAATTCTTTGAGTCAGGTGATATCACTTTGGAAGCAGGGACTCCCCAAGCAGTTGGCATACACCAACCCAATGGATATGCAAGAAAATATAAATTGTTTTTAATCTCATCTTTCTGAGTTTCATAGTGAGTATATACCAGCACAGCAGCATGTAACAGTTATAAATGAGGAATATTTATATGGCAGTCACAATTTTTTTAAGAATTGGACACCACTATATATCTCCAAACTAGAGGATGGCATTAGTTACTGAAGAGGCAGCTGATGCAAGGAAATCAGTAAAAATTAAGCCCATCTACTTGAGAGAAATTTCATATACTGTAGTTATAAGAACATACTTTGATTTTTATCAGAAGACTGAAGGTATTAGCATCAAAATGTGAAATCTAAGCCCCTGGTAGTTAAACTCAGTGATTAATACTGATTGGTTTGATTTTATAAATAGAAAACGCTTTCTGAAACAGTTAGAATCCCCATGTGGATTAACAGCTGCCAAAATATAGGGGATAATTTCAAAGGTGGAATGATCAGTTGACCATTGTTACTGTCTATTCTACCTGGAAAATTCTGTACCTCCCAGAATAGCACTGAGAAAATACTCATTAGCATGCTGCTTTTTAATTATAAAACTTTAGGCTATGTGTGTGGGGTATGTGTGTGTACGTGCGTGTGTACCCCTATGCATGTGCTAAAGTAACCAGTAATTATTAGACTTCAGTTTTTAATCCAAATGTTAATTAGATTATCACAAGAAATCCATTGAAAAATTAACCTGGACCTGGAAATGGGAAATGCCACTGTGGGAGGAGGGAAAAGCAGGCATCAGAGAAGAGCCTTTACTAGGATTTGTTCAGCTTAGTATTAGCCTGTTAAATAAATTTCATTGAACTCAGGCATAATGACTGGTTGTGTGCTTCCTGGGTCTCATTGGTTAAGGGACTTGCTGTGTCAGAGTTAGATAAAGGAGGTGGCTGGGTGTGGACTCTGAAGTGGTTGGTTTGCATAAAATAGTGTTCCGAAGCAAGGGGTTGACTCTCTATGAAGTCTATCCCTGGACAGGAGTCTCTCTCCAATCACAGGGACCCCAAAGAGGCTCCAAAAAATTCTAGTACACAGAAGATCAAAAATATGCAGTAGTGGGCCTCCCTGGTTGTATAAGGGGTTAAAGTGCAACCTATGAAGCAATCCAAAGCCACTGCAGCACAAGTTCAATCCCCAGCCAGGTAGCAATCTACATGGCACAGCAGACCTCTCCTGACTTGCCTGCCCACTGCTCCCCTCAGCAGTGTACTTCGGTCAGTCTGCCTGTTCTGTTCCCCACTCTGTCTCTGGTGAATCCTCTCA